CGCGCCATCACATGCCTCATCACCGCATGTGTTATCGTGCTAACCCGCTGATCCGGAATTGCCGCGGCTTCAATAAAGTGAGTGAAGTGTTCGGTCATCACGATTATGTATTCATTGCCCCATCACGTTAAGGGAAACAGCCCCATCACGTCGACTGACCACAACTCATCCATCTCAGACACTGGAATCGCGTGCTGACACGGCAGCACGTATATATCGACGTCTTCATACCTGGCAAGTAACCTTGCTGCCTAAGCAAATCATATGTTCTGGTGCATTCTGTATGGGCAATCTCATGATAAGAGACAACCAACTTTTTCCGTAACTTCGGTGGGATCACCGGCACCGGGGTAGCGCCTCACTGTTGTGTTCGCATGAGAATTCAGGATTTGTTGACTTGCAAGTTGGCCTTGGCTTTTAGTTGTCGCAGTTTGATTCATTATCCGTGCTGTTATCTGCCTGATCAGGAGCTTATCCTTTCGTTGCTCAGCCGCCAGCCTCCCCGGATTTTGTTCCAGCACCCAACCACTGACACCGAAGGCAAGGTTCGGCAAATCGTCGTCACTCGTTAGGCGCGATAAAAATCTGCCGTTCCGCTGCCCCTCCCAGCTATGTAGTCTACCGTGAAGTCGTAGCCTTGTAAGCGCAACACCCACCTAGCCAACTTGCCTCCGATGTATTTGGAGTATATAATACATTAAACGGTTTGTGATTTGATTCGATGAGAAAGCGTTGACTCAGGAAGTACGCCCGACATTTGCCCAAAGCCCAAACAATTGCCAGACACTCATACACTACTGTGGAATACTTGCGTTCCGATGGCTTAAAAATTCTGCTAACATATTCAATCGTCCAGTACTTTTGCCTCAGTACCGCACCGATTCCGACGTCACTTGCGTCTGTGGTCACTGTGAACGTTTCTGGTAATCGGTAATTTCAACATAAGATCCCGCCTTCCCATTTCTTTCTGAATGTCGTCAAACACTCGCTGAGCTTATGGCGTCTACGCGATTTTATTCGTACAAAGCTGATGTCAAATTGTTAAAATCCCTGAGGAATTTACTGTAGTATCCGGAGCGGCCCGAAAATGCTCTAAGATTGCGCTTTGAAGTCGGAACTGGGGTGCCTCGAATTGTCAATATTTTCTCCGGCAGCGACTTCAGTTCACCCTGACCCAACTTGTGATCCAGCAGTGTCACGGACGCTTTCCAGATTTGAGACAATTTATCCGTAATCCCGACTGTTGGATCCTTTGCAACGTTGCTTCCAAATGACGGCAGTGTTCGGCTTCCGATTCACTGTATATCACGGTGTTGTCTCCATACACGGCCACATTCACTAACCCATCCAGCAGGCGGAGCATCAAACGCCCGAAAGTGAACGCGTCAACAGATAATCCAAACGACATCCTTTTTAATTGGTACTGCTTCATGCCAACTACAAACGCGCTCTTCTCCCGGTCCTTCTGTTTGATCGCCAGCGGCCAGTAGTCAAATCTTAAATTCAGTTTGCAGTTTGTCGAAAATGTCTGTGACGGATGGCACCAGGATGAAACGACAGCGAGATTTCGTGCAGCCTCCTGAAATCCGTTAGCTTTCGTCACCAAAACGACTGGGTAGCTATACGGGCTGTGAGCCACCTCGATTACACCCGCATTCAACATCTTATGAACCTGCCTCTTAACCTCGGCCTCCAGATGGATTGGTATTCTTCTGGGTCCATGCGGCCCATACGGCTGCAGCGAAAGCGGAATTGTGTGTTCGACCCAATTACAAAACCCATAGGGATTGTTGTGGTCCGTGAAGACAAGTTTGTATTTGCCCACAAGAGATTGCAGGGCCGGACTAGTAGTGTGAAACGACGACTGAACATGCTCATGTGAACTTTGCTCTACGAGAGAGGGGTATAGACCCGTACTTCGTTATCATCTTTCCTCGTTTCAGGTCGACGATGGCCTCATTGGCTTGGAGGAAATCTGCCCTCAGAATGGTCTGTTTCGCGTCCGGCGACACGACGAAGAGATGAATGAAGTTATGACTCCCGATACCAACCACGTGCTCTGCCATAGCATTTAAGCGTATCTCGTAGCCAGTGACCGCCTTCACCACCATGGAACACAATTGGGTTTTCACTCCATCTCGATGGTTGATCAGGGAGACTGCGGTTCCTGTATCAATGAAACACTTCTGTTTCTCCATTCACCTATATCATCGCCCCAATCGCACCTATGTTCAAGGCCTCTCCAATAATACTGTTTGCAACTTTTATTTGATACAAAGAGTGTAATGCGCCTTGATGGGCATTGCGGCTTCCAGCGTCCCAGTTTCCGACAAAATAAGCATTGCATCTGCCGCGTCCTCTGACGGGTACTTCGAAGTGTTCCGATGTCTTGCGTAATCTGGTCCAATTACTCCTCTAACGTGTCCAATCGCATGCTGTATTTTTGGTCTTCGATGCTCAATACTTGCCACTCGAGCAAGTTCCACCACGCCCGTTCTCTGGGTGGCGTTCACAATCCGCAATCGATCCGCCATCATTGGACGTAGACCGTTTAGGAACGGCTCCATTAACAGTTGCTGTCATGACGCAACGTCAAAATCTGGCAGAGTCCGATCCGACAAGCCCCCGAAATGGACCGCAAACACGACCGGATCCGCCTTGAAGCGCAGCATCACATCCTGGTGGTTAGCCGGACTGTCAAACTGCGCGATCAGCGCCTCCTTCGCGACGGCGCATTCCAACTTGACTGGGGCTCTTCTTAACACCCCAGGGATTGCTTTCGCTCCTCCCTTGAATATATTCTGAAGCGCAACCAGCTTCACCCACTCCTGCCTCACCCGACTGCTACCGCGACATCCTTGAAGTTCTCCAGGAATCTCAAACGGCTCCGGCCACCGGATCTTCACCTGCCACCTCGGGCTGGTCACGGCACCAACTGTGGCAAAGGCGGCGCGGTGCGAACGAGTTGTGCATTGGAGAACGAACGTAAAAATGGTATAACATTTCTAACGTAGAACAGTCGGACTCATTTGCGCACTTTATTTGTGGTGCCATTTGATTCTACGCTCCGCTATGTGCTATCGACTCAGTTTGTCGTGACCTTGTGTTATAAGCCCAAAACTCCAGCGTCATCCGTTTCCATGGCCGGTTGAATTGCGCACAACGCGCTCGTCGTCCGCGGTGATGCATTATTCGCTGTGTTCATCGCGCCTGCTCGTTTCACCGTACTACGAATAAGCAGTGCAACACACAATGAGCAATTACTTTAAAAGATTCATCTTCAGACCATTAGAATCATATGTAGGGACTAAAAATAAAGTAAAATCGATCAAGTTTGTTAAGGTTACAAAGATAAAAGTGAACTAAGCGTTAAGGGGTTAGTTGCGTGTTACGGAGGCAGCTGACCTCTGCGTCTCTCCTTTTCGCTGACCAGGGAAGCTTAAGTGTGTGGACTAATTGGTTTTGCGACCATAAGGAGGGGTTAAAATATCGAATGAGAATTGCCTAGGCCATGGCAAGTGTACGGAGTCTTTAACCTTTCGATCGGTGCGGAGGAACCTTGTACACCGCACCGATCGAAATGTCAACGACTCTGGACACTTGCTACCGCCGAGACAAATTGCGTTCGATTGTTTAATCCCTCCTTGTGCTCGCAAAAGCAATTGGTCCATGCACTTTAGCTTCCTTGGCCAGCGAAAGCGGAAGACGCAGAGGACACGCAATTAACCCTTTAACGCAGAGTTCAATCTTATCGTTGTAACCTTAACAAACTTGATCGATTTTACTTTCTTTTTAGCCCCTATATGTGATTGTAATTGTCCGAAGAGGAAGCGCTGAAAGCAATTGCTCATCAAGTGGTCTTGTTGTTCTCGGAATTTAAATGGGAACCTTCAAATTAATTAAACAATGCATTGTGAAGAGGATGATTTGTATCGAGCATTCTAGGTGCGAGCTATTTGAAACAATTGATACGATTAAAGGCAGTAATGTAATCAAAGTTGGGCCTGGATACTGATCTAGTGACGTCTGAAATACTGTAAATGGTTGATTAGTAAGCCATGCGAAATCACAACCGATCAGTATTTCCAGTAATAAATCGTAATATTAGATAGCGGAATTCACAATAATGGTATTAGTGTCCCATCTGTAGTTCAGTCAGGTACGGGGTTGGAACTCGGCATAATGCTAGATGAAAAAGTCACCGTTAGTGAGACAGCGATAGGGATTCGTGGGCTCGGAGGTGACATTGCCCAGCCACGTTCAATCATTCGTAGGAGCAGAGTGAAATTTCAGACAATAACATATACTGAAAAACGATAATCGCTGAGACGATTTAGCTCTGAACTGAGACAATCACGTTAGTTTATATGAAAGCCACTTCAAAAATGAGATTGGCCTTGTGCTTCAGCGCATGCCAGAAGCATTGTCCTGTGTGCGACGTTTGTTTACACGGTCTAAAGGTTGGGCCCACTAATACGTTTACCGAATGATTCCGAAGTCGATATTACATGGGATAAACACACAGTGGATTTTTAGCCCCAGTGCATTCCATTGTGACGTGGTGATGTAGATGGCGGCGAGCGCAGATAGGTATAAGGGTTGGATCTATTATATCTCTCGGCTAAACGCGCGCCAAGCAGCTATTGGACCCACGAATTGATAAGTGTCGGTTTAGAACGGCACCACTACTGAAGGTTTCGACTTGTTAGCATATGACGAGTTAGTGTGTTGACCCGTTCTCCCATCTAGGTATTTGGGCTACGGATGTGTCTAGCAATCAAGGGAAGTAGCATGTTCAGTAGGTATCAGCAGCAGTCTGTCAGTGAATGCCGAGAACTAAAGGGGAAAGGACAAGTTTCGTAACCGAAGGCATCCTAGTCACAAACCCATGAGCTTAGATTGAGAAACGCAGTAACTGCAAGTTTGTGTATGTAAAGATACTGGCAAGAACAGAGCCCTTCAGTTGACTTTTTGCTGTCCCAAGTTAGAAAAGTTAGACACTGAAAAAGACAATGCCCGAACCGAAAGAGCAATAAGTAAATACAGCAGATAAACACGAACGATCGGTTAACTCAAAGAGGTCAATCTCTAATGTCTAAAACATAGTGCAATGGTGGTAATGTGCAAAATGCGGACAATGCTTGGGAAATATCTATTTGCCCGGTAAATACGCGTTAATTACAAATGGCGTGAAGTAGAAAATACCATACAAATAACCATGGAAGCAAACCAAGCATTGAGAAGCACATAAAAATGGGAAATTGCAAATAAAATTGCATCAGACAGAACGAGGATCAGCTCTCATGCGGAAAAATCACAGCCCGATTGATTAACGTGAAAATCAGGTATAAATATGGGGCAATGATAAAAAATAGTGCGATATGTAGGCCTACATGTAGTTGTTTAGAACGAGGGATGGCATACTCAATGATACCATCGTGGAAGACAATCAATACCAGGTTCGGAGTTGGGGAAGCGGAGTCCAGTTAAAAAGGCCGATCATATGGCTTTGGAATGCAGATCGGACTCTAAACTCCACTCGAGTGGCAGTCAGATTCTGTGGATGTGTCGCTGATTCCATCATCATCATCGTCAGGGTCAGCCACTCTAGGAGCAAAGTCTTTGAGATCTGAGTGATGTGGTTTACTTATCGCTTCGCGAACATCATCGGATCCTAGGGGGTGGTCATCTGTTATATTTGGCTTGAATGGCGGAGATCGTCTGTACGTGGTGACATCCACCTGAGGGAGGAGAAGAAGGATATCTCGAGAAGAAAAGATTACCAATGGTACTCAGATACTAATGACTATAATCGGACGGAGCGGTAATATATAGAAGTATAATCTACTTTCGCGATGTTGTCACGTGTGGTCAATGCGCAAACCGAGAAGGAGCAAAGAAAGTTTAAAGTGTAAATGGCTCAAAGTTGTGCATTATTGCAAGAGAAAATACAGTAACGGGTGATTACAAATATGGGGTGAACTAGTTGGTACAATACATGAACCAGGCGAGTAACTAGACTTTCGCTATATAGAAAGAGAAGCCACACAGCCTGATTAATACGATTAGGATGGCAACGCTGAAGCTGGTATGCCAAAAATGTTCGAAAATGGTTTGAGCCCTTTCGTAACCACTTGTGGTTGCATGGCAGCGGTGTAGCAGTAGTGCAAAAGGCTGGTGAATCCAAAGCGCCAAACGACTATCTCTACAAGACTACGGAGGGGAGGGACTGAATCGCCAGCGTTTGGACATCATGTTGTTGAAAGAGCTAAGGTTAACATGATTAAGGAGAGCGGTTATGATGATGAGGATGGAACTCATAGGCTCCTCGAAGGAGCAGCTCGATCGCCAGCATAGATGTGGTTAACGGGTAACATAAACGGCAGGGTCCAGGAGCCTGTGCAGCAAAAAATTCCGCAACAACGAATGTGGCACATGCAGAACCGACTGTATCCTAAACATGGTAACGAAAACTCTGTAAATGTAGTTGGCAGAGCGCGAAAAATCCATTATCAAAGTGATCAGTAGTAAGGATAGCAATTCGGCTTTGGTGGTTGGAATAATAAAGCCCAATCCGGAAACGCAACCCCGCAGGGCCTTTAAATCGGACGTTACCGTTTTTACTATATCTAAATATTCTCGACACCCACTTTGATTACGCTATTTAAAAGGTCAGAAATGATTTTCTCCGACGGATTCTTGAAAATGAATTACGTGATACTGCGCGTACTGTGTAGTTTGTTACTTTTGGCCATGTAATCATAAATACATTCAAAATTTATCAGAAGGCGCTTCTGTGACTTGAGTAATCATCGTCCGGATCGAAAAACTGGGTTTGACAATGCACAATCAAGAGGACACAAATCCTACTGATTCAGTCGAGTATAACATGTAATTATTACTTGCAGATTTAGGACAGTTTTAGTCGAGTAACATCTGTGCACCCAGTGCCATTTTAATTTGCATTTATACAATTCTGTAAAGTTGCTATTTCAGTCCAGCTGCAGTAACAGTTAGAAAATGACGAATACGTACCCACTCGGGTAAATAAAGCTTACGCGAGTAGAACGATCACACTTTAGCCAGGGAAATATCAAGAAAAGCAGGTACGTACGAAATCGTCCGGGGAGTCATGTTTCCCGTGCGAAATTCTAGACCGAATATGATGAGATGTCCTTGCTGTGGGGACTGTTGACGCCGCAGTAACTGAGTAGCTTAGGCCAGAATCAGATGGCGTGTCCTGCTCTAGAATAACTGGAGAAAGAGGACGAAAATCCTGACGCGGCTTCCGACGCTTTTCGTACAGACGGGGAGCACTGCGAGGTTCACTCCTACGTCTTTCCGATGGACGCCCCTCTGTTACGCCACTAGCAATGCTAGGGGGGCGTGAAAGACGGTGAGCCGACTCAGAGGAGGCCTCGGAAATGCCAGATAAAATCGAGCGGGTTATCGTTGATGGTCGAGAAGGAGGAAGACCATGGATACCTAGCGAACTCAAACTGCTCGACCCCGGCACAAACGTTGTTGAGGCGCCTTGACAAGGAAAAAGAATGAGAGTGATGATCATTACTCCACAGTAAAAACTGTACAGAAAGATAGATTCGCTGGTGGAGGGGCAAATGTTTTGGTGAGCGTTATGAAAAATCGAAGTCAGCTTTTAGAAAATCAACAGCATCGTAGTCCAATGGCATTACCACAAATTAGAGCTAACAGAATCGCACAAAGAAGTCTGAAGGAGCGTGAAAAGATATTTGTCCCGTCAGTAACCACCTGCTGTCTATGTTGTGAAACATCCGCATACAATCAATCCACATCAGCTGAATCACGTTTCGCATTGTCCAGAAACATCTGTTTAACATCCATAAAATCCCAAATGACAACTGAGATAACGGCGAGTGCAGAAATCTAACACCGAACTCAACCGCCCGGATTGGCACATATACAATGAGTTGGATTATTTCAATCGCACACCGTGCAGGAGAAGGAAATGTGAAAGCATCGTAGAAGGACAAGTATAGAAACCATTCACCAAACGCTTCACAGCCAGCTGTTCCACGCTATCCTACTTAAAGCGCTAAACGTAAAAACACGAATATAACGTTTAAGCCAAAATCTAACAACACCCTTCAATGTTACCCACAACAAATCACAATTATTAGCATAAACGTACTAGATCTGAAATCGACTTTGTAAAACGCGGATAACAGAGGAGAACTCCCTAGTGAAAAATATCACAGGCAGGAGCACCAACATAACGGTATTGAACTACTTTCCGAAAAGATGGAATAAGTTATTGGTTGAAATTTGTTCCAGCGGATCAGATTATGACTTCCGTAAAAACATGACAGACTCCTAACAATCGATAATGCAACGACACAGAGATATTTCATAACTCTAAAATAAGTATATGGGCAAGGTCAAAGTAATAAAGGCCCAAGGGGATAATATGGAGCTCGCAGAGCTCCGCGAAATTTGCGCAAAGTTCACCTGAGCGAACTGTAGTGATACTTCCACGACAGGGTGACTCAAAGTATATATATATATATATATATATATATATATATATATATATATATTTATTTATATAGCATGAGTCAGTGAACTGGCCATGTGCTAGACCCACTGCCTTTCGGGTGTTCATTTAATCGAAGGCTTTGGCTGAGGACCCGAGTCGTTCTCCTGTCAGGTGTGGGCGCTTTGCCAGTATTCTAGTCCAGCCTCTTCGGAGGTTAGGAAGTGGTCGATGGTCCTCTTCCCATAAAACCTTGTCAAGGGAGACAACAGGTCTACGGGTTATAAGCTCACAGCTCGATGGGCGTAGAGCACGAACGCCACGCATTGTCTATGACAGTGGGAGGGCACCTCCGGGTGTGCAATGGTTTGCTACTGCCCGCCTCAAGCCAGACAGCCCCTGGTCAAATTGGTGCAAACCCGCCAAAACCCACCTGCGTCTGGCCGTGGTCACAGGTGCGTATCCTACTACGGTCGCAAACCACAGATGAATCGTTCCAGCACCTACAAGGCTGCGTGTGACGGCTGTCAAGCGGATCCCAATCTGTCTCCGCAATCACATTCCCGTGCTGGATCTACTTCCCACTACCTTATGGGTCAGGCTATTGAGCTAAAGGCTCAGGGCGGAGTCCCTCAAGCAAACCACCGAAGCACAATCGACACATCACGTGCGATTGCCCACCAACGCAATCGTATGCCTGTGCGCAAAGCACTCAAGCTCCGGTGCTGAAGCGTGCACACACTACTGGACCGGAACGCCAGTGAGCGCCCCGAGCGACGCACTGCACTGGTCGAGATGGAGCTGGCGCGCTACAACATCGATATTGCGGCGCTCAGTGAAACTGGGCACGCTGAGCAAAGTAAGTTGCGTAAAGCAGGTGCTGGCTACATATTATACTGGGTGGGCAAAACGGACCCAGCACCACGCGAACATCGGGTCGGAATTGCAAAATCCGATCGCAGCCATGGCTAGTTCGTGGGTGAACCAACAGGCATCAGCGCGCGACTGATGACTGCTCGCCTACGACTTGGTAAAGGTAAGTTTGCCAATTTCATCAGCACGTACGGTCCGAGCGTGTGTTATCCTGATGACACGCGTGATCAATTGTACGCTCAACTATCTTCCGTGATACGGTCTGTGCCGAGGAGCGACTGACTACTTTTGCTGCATGATTGCAATGCGCGCGTTGGCCGTGATGCATCGGTGTGGACAGATGCAACGGCAGATGCCATATGACCACAGTGCATTGGTGCGAACATTCCGAAACTGTAAAGACTCAGACTGATTACAGTCATAATAACTAGACGCATGAATGCAGGTTACCATACGCTTTAGGAATTTTTCCCTCTAGGTGTCAGTATCCACACAGAGATCGGGGCTCAGAAGCATGGGAACACGTTCGTTCATCTATAGCATTACCCGCAAAGTTGCATAAAAAGTCCAAAATTTTGCAAAAACGAAAAAGTTGACAAAACCTGTGCGATTCGCCAACCGCTCATTGGCCGAATGCTAGAGTTTGATGCGTAAGTCAAGGAAGAACTGGTGGATACGCAACTGCTGTTAATCTATCGATGATTTTGTTGAAAATATTTCCCTTGAGATCGTGGTAAACATAAGTTGTGCATTCACTACGTGCTCTGACAGTACGCATTGATCATTACGCCGCGCCGCAAATCGCCCGAACTGGTTTTACGTGTTAGGCAAGATCAACGACTACAACCTCGACCCATGGCGATCAAAATCGTTAAGCATTGGCTCACCAAATGCACACAGAGATACGCGAGAAATCACAATTGCAAGCCATGCATCTGTATTTAGGTGTGAATCCATTTCTCAAGCTCTCGAGCGGTTGTATTATAACGCGGTAGCGAGACCGGTTATGCGACGCGACCACGCACACTATTTGCCCTGGGCGCCACAGTGTTACCCAGAATGTAGAACCGGCTATTTCTAGTAGCGTATAAAGTGCACTCTGACCCGACATCACAATAACGTAAGCATAACACTCGTCCACTTACCAGTGGCTTATTGTCCGCAAATCAATCATCTTTGGTGCATCATTCCCTTGTGGATTTGTCGATGCCTTTCTATAACTCAGTATTTCGGTAAATTACAGTTCAGACATCTTCAGAATTCTGAAACCCTATCTGTATTATCTAAGGTTTTTCGTGAACGAGTAAGGCGCGATGCACACCAGTACGAAGTAGACGATACGCTACAAATATCACTCGCACATGTCTCATTAGAAAGTCAGTCCCATGTCATTGCCTAACGCCGAACATCAGATATCGCTGCAACCCCATACGAATGTATAACCGTACGTACGTGCATACATATTTCGCCGAGACTTTAAATTTCCTCGTGTTCCTACTTGCTCCGAGTGATATACACTATAAAATCCGATGTCTAGTGATGAGCTGGAAAGGTAATCAAAGCACGTCATTATTTTACACCATCAGTAAAATGTACACGGATATGTCGGATCGCATTACGATATCGCACAACACTGATCTCACTGGTTGCTGTTCTGGCAATGCGTTCCGGAAAATGCAATCTCCATTCCATTTGCGTCAGGAGGTTCTGGAGATCCCCGGCCAGAGGTTCATGGTACTGTATTCGCATTTTATTCTTCACCACCTGCCAAATATTTTTGATGGGATTGAGGAACGGGGAGTATGGGTTCAGTCCTAGAATTGCACCTCTTCGTATCCTTCGACTGATGCAAGTGGTTCCAAACGTGAGTGACAAGGTGCATTGTCACACACTACGACCACCTGCCGGAGCTTCACTTCCCGCTTCAGCTTGTGCAAAATGCCTCACAGCCATTCGAGAGATAGGGAGCCAGTGAATGTGCCTCTCCGGGTAGTTATTCAAACGTTTCCATCCATTATGAGTGCAGCGATGAGCTGTAAATTCAGGCCTCTACTGTTGACTACTTTGACATAGGTCCTCACTGCTCTATGCGCCAGACCACGAGTACGTTTTCAGTAAAGGTTGAGGCTTTTTCCTCGATCCATACGAAGAACTTGCCCTTACTTTCAAGTTCGAGAAACTTTTGAACAAATTCCTTTGGTATCTCTTTGGTTTGATCATTGTTCATTCCTTCTGGAGTCTGAAATGTGTTCTTCATAGTTATCAAACGGCCATCTAGGTGTCATGGGATTGTAGACTTTGAAAGGTTCTTATCCATAGTGGCACGTACTCGCATTTCGTGTGGTGTTAGAGTTGTGTCGTTCGCGATCCACTCCAGGATGTCATCAATCTCCTCCTCCGACAGAATGCGCTTACGAACCCGTACCTGCGTAGTTTCCGGCTTCTGATGAAGATAGCGACGAATCCAGGAGTAGTCAGTTTGATAGCTCACATTGTTCACGGTTGCCACGAGCTGCCAGTCGTCACCGTTGACGAAGGCATCCGCAACTCAGACACGAATGTCTGACGAGATACTCTTTCGAACACGAGAAGGCATGTTGACCACGCTGGAATGAAAGACATTCATCCAGTCGTACGCTTATGTTCTGGCTATGCACTGCTCTCAGACCAATTGCGCTCCAGCGTTTCGGACGTGAGATGAGGCGCATAGTAGCTCGTGGCATCGCCTAAGTCCATGGCCTCGAGGTTCATTCACAAGTCTCACCTAGTCAATGGGCAGCGCGCTCACTTCACTTGACTTACGCATCAAACACCAGCACTCGGCTAATGAGAACACACTTGTGGTCAGAGGATTGGCTCAGAGCAGCTGGCGAATCGCACAGGGTTTTGTAAAAGTTTGCACTTTCTTTGCAAAAATTTGCACCTTCCTTGCAAAATGCTGCGCTTTCTTTGCAAATTTGTGTGCTATCTTTGCAACATTTTGGACCTCGTATGCAATTTTGCGGGAAATGCTACAGTACGACAGTGCCTTGCAGTCTCATTCACCGGGGCTTCAAAATCCGACCTGAGTGCCACTCGTACTGCGAATGACCTCAAATTGTCTTCAGACATCTAAGTGGTGTTGTTCATTGTGAATGTCAGAACCACATAGGCCGTCCTGTTAGCCCTCCTCTGCATGCATAGTTGAAAGGCAACAAACACGCGTGCATGTGTGTGCGTATATGACGGATTCAAAGGAACACGAATGAATCCATTAGACTTGTCGCTTATCCTCAAGCATGCTCATGTTAAACGCCAGCGGTAGTGCTGAGGCCGCTAGCGTGAATGGGCTGGCTACCAAGCGCTTGCTGCTCACAATATTCCACATCCGTTCGTGCATTCGATGGAGGAATTGGGTGTAGTGATCAACAAGTATCCTTGGAGACCAAGTACTATACAACGTTTCCCCGCTTTGAAGTGCCGTTTGGAATTTTGGGATTCAAGGCCCAACAACTTTCGTTGCAAGTGTCCACATATTGGCTCACTGATGTAAAGTGAACAATCCCGGCACGTAACTGACCAGCGATTTTCATGATGATGATACTACATGTTCTGTTCCACATATTAGTCACGAGAGAGTGCAGCTATATTTCCCGTTGTTCATCCGTCATAACATTGATGTGATCTAGCTGGATTTTTCGAAGGCTTTCGATCGTCTAGACCATCGGATACTACTCTCCAAGCTCCAGCATTTCGGGATCGGCGACCCTCTTCTAAGCTGGATTGCCAAGTTTCTACTTCAACGGCAATTAGAGTTCTGAGCTCTTTACCAGACCCCATACAAGTCGACTGTGGTGTGCTGCAAGGCTCAGCACTAGGTCCACTTGGTTTTGGTGTATATTAATAAGTATGCACAGGAAATCGCTACCAACTTCCTAATGTTTTGTCGACGACATCAAAAGTTGGCGCAGGGTCCAGGCAAACGCCAAGCAGCATCTGCTTCAGAGATATATAGATACGGTATATCAATGGTCAACCCTAAATTAACAGCATTTCAAGTTGAGTAAATGCTAAGTACTTTCCATCCGACATAAGAGCAGCTACTCACACCGACTCGAAACAAATGCACCGCAACAACTAAACTCGAACATGCCTTGGGCTTTCCGATTCAACATGACTTGGGTTGCTCCATGCAATCCGAAAAGGCTTCGAAGACTAGAAATCAACACGTCGGGTTGTTACGACGTGCGTTTGGACAAATAAATAGTTCCATATTTCGACAAATCCTCAGTGTGTATGTTCGCCCCCATGTCGAGTAAGCAATTCAAGTCTGGCATCCATGGCTGAAATACGGCCTTGATGCACTGCAGCAGCCACAACGTCAGGCATCTAAGAAGGTATTTGGAATGCGCAACCTTTCATACCAGAGGATACAACAATTGGGTGTAATCAGCGGAAGCCATCGCAGACTATGAGGCGAGCTGATTATGTCATACTTGATTCTGCGACACTCATATCATGTGTGCCGCCATTTACTGCGACTCAGCAGTGATACAACCCTGAGGGACCACTCATTGAAACTCGCAGAACAATACAGTCTGGAGTGCCGCAGAAATTTCGTTTTCATTCGTGTCTGTCACTCGTGGAATGCTATGCCAGAATCGGTCGTCTATGCAGCGACACTAACCGTATTCAAAAGACGGTTGGATGACGCACTCATCCACTTACACTCTTTCACTTGGCGCTACGTATCCATGCTATACCTCGAGTTTATTATGGTGCTGTGAATCTAAGCGGATTGCAGGACTACAGCGGAGAAAACGTTGTTCTTATTTCAGATTGAAAGTACTAACTGTTTTACTACTATAATTATCATTATTGTTATTTCAATATCACCACCAACTTGTAAAGCAACGTTTCTTAACCCGTGTAGATTCATTGTTCATTGTTCACAGTGAACTTAGGTGCATTTACGAAAAGGTAGCTATTATCGAGATAAATAGCGGAAGGGCAAAGGTGTCTGTTATAAATGGCCAATCATCTGGATTGACTTAGAAGTAGGTCAATCCAACCGTGATGGTACAATAGTGGTTGAGTACATAGTTCATTGGAAAATAAATCCACGCAAAGAAACAATTGATTTGTGGCCATTTAGAAGCACTTGTAAGCGCCACACTTCAGCTTGACAGATTGGGCGCATTTTCACAACCGTGACACCATTATCACCTGGCTTGATGTCTAACTGGGGCTGGCCCAAATTACAGGTAGCGCTAACCTCTGTTCGTGTCTCGTTAGGTTCACACTCGACAGATGGATCATCTTGTGTGATACCATGAAGTATTGCAATCTGATGTCATTGTAGCCAGGTCAAGTGCTTATGTAATGCGCAGTAAGATTCAGACAAGTCATCAATTTTGATTCACTGACAGCTACAACACGATGTGACATCCGAATCGAAATGTTTGGACACACTGACAGCACTGATGAAGTGGTCGAGATATGCTAGCGCAGAGAACAGGTGATCAAGGGGACCATAAACAGTCACACACGACTGACTGCCTGGTGGTTCCACATACATTTGAATTCTCGCTTACCTCTCAGACAAGACACGATCGGACAGGCTCTGGCGTACCTTCTGACTCGAATAGTCTGCAGTTAATATAAAAGACGGCATTTACAACACACAACAACAATAAGCCATCACTATTCCACTGCGTTTTTACTGCTGTTTTATGTTACGTTGCAAAGTTATCAATGTTAGTAGCCTCGTACTGCTCATCTTGTTAATGAATTCTCCATGGTGGCGTCTGTTCTGCTTGCACCACGAGTGGACCACCAAGGCTCTACTGACATTTCATTTCATGCATCAATACTTGTATTCGCACATGTTCTTGCATTTGCACGCATTTTATATCATTTGGTGTCATCTCTTTCTTTGTAGCCCTTGAGACCAGTTCCAGGATTTCTTGGTAACACTACACACGCAATTCTCGTACTGCTACTGAGTATGCACAGTCCAATGCAAAATAATAGCACCCTGGGCCGACGTAGTTCATCGAGCAATATTGGTGTAGGTGTCACCTCATCTCTCACACACTGTAGGGTGCCTAAGCGACATTTAACCAGCAATGATCACTTGCTTGTTTCCGGGTTCCACAGCACCCCACATTCCTCCGTCCCTGTACCCATCTCGCCCCAAGCAATTTTTTCATTCCGACCCCTGAAGGAGACAAATCCAACCATATCTCAGCCATCGACATCAATAGCCAAACGTTGCCGCAGGCCAGCACGCCAAACACTCAAGGTTGTATGTTGGAATGTGCGCACACTGCACGATCGGGACACCACTCATCGAGTTACGCGACGAAGCGTATTAGTCGCCAGGGAGCTTGAGCGATAAGACATTGATCTCGCAGCGCTGAGTGAGACCCGACTGGTTGACCAAGGCACACTACGAGAGGATGGTGCTGGATACACTTTCCATTGGATTAGAAATGTCGACGCAGCACCGCGTGAACAAGGCGTCGCATTGGCAATTGCTGACCGCCTGAATAGCCGCTTGACGAGGGAGCCGATTGGTATCAGCACACGGTTGACGTCGCTTCGTGTATGCCTCAGACGTGATAAGTTCGCAACATTGATTAACACGTATGGTTTCACTATGAGTTATCCGGATGACATGAAAGACCAGTTCTACTCACAATTGGCCTCTGTTATAAGGTCTGTGCCAATGAGTGATCGACTATTCCTGCTTGGTGACTTCAATGCACGTGTAGGGCGTGATGCCACAGTGTGGGCTGAGGTGATTGGGCCGCACGGGATTGGGATAGTCAATGGAAACGGAGAGCGTTTGCTTTCATTGTGTGCCACACATGGCTTGACGATCACGAACACTCAGTTCGCTCTGTGTGCTAGTGACATTGCTACATGGACCCACCCACGGAGTGGTCATGCTCACTTGCTGGACTACGTCATCGTACGTCAACGGGACATGCGTGAAGTGCGCATAACGCGGGTAATGCGTGGAGCTGAATGTGGGACTGATCATAAGCTGGTGCGCACAAAGTTCTACATAAATGTCTACAAATCGTCGTACTTTCCATCGAGTACCAATCGGAGGAAATACAACGTACGCGCCCTTTCGAGTGCAGAAAAGAGACAAGCACTGGAGGATGCCATAAGAACCCGCCTCGGCGAAGACGACTCCGCGGCTTCTGTCAGCGTGCTTTGGGACCAGTTGAAGAAACAGGTGACCAATGCTACCGAGGAGACGATTTGGTGTACAAACTATAAGCGGCCCGATGGATTCGACGAAAACAGTATGACGATTGGGTCATTAGTACGAGCGAAAAACGCAGCGTTCATCGCATCCGAGGTTGACCCTAACAACGCGATGAAGAGCAATAATTTTCGCCGCATTCGAAGGCAGCTAGCTGGAGAGCTGCGTTAGCTGCAAAATGCGTGGTGGACAATGAAAGCTGAGCAGATGGAGTCCTAAGCTGAACACCGTCAACAAAAAGATTTCTAGGACGCCTTGAAGGCAGTGTAGGAGCCCACAATGCAGCAATTGAAGAAGCTGAAGGAATTTGGTACTGGCGAGGTATACACAATGTGATGACATCTTGCGGATGTGGCACAGACACTTTGACACCCAGTTAAACAATCGATCCGAGCTTGACTGGGACACACTGCACGGGGTGCAACACCACAGCGTATTATCCAAACTTGAGGGCACACCGGGAATGTACGAAACACCGCGTTTGCTCCACTACGGAATGGGAAATACGCTGGTGCTGATGGCATACCTCCGGAAATACTGAAGAACGGAGGACCAGTTATGATGCGCGCACTCCATCGTTTAGTGGAAGCCGTCTGGATGGAAGAGCAAGTGCCTGCAGAGTTGAAGGATGTTCTTGTGCTTCCACTGTACAAGGGAAAGGGTAGTAAGCAATACACCAACAATTATCGTGGCATCAAATTACTTAGCTGCGTCGGCAAGATTTTTGTGCGCATCCTAATCAATCGCCTTGACGCAGATACTGGAACCGAACGTAGCTGAGGAACAATGTGGATTCCGATCGGGCCAAAGCATCATCGACATGTGTTCGTAGCACGTCAACTACAGGAAAAATGTCGTGAACGCAATCAAGCGTTGTATTCACCGTTTCTCGACTTCACCAAAGCTTTCGATACGATGAACCGTGAGGCGTTTTGGCTGATTCCTCAAAGTTTGTATGCACTGCAAAGTTTATTCGTCTGATTGCATGCCTGCATACTGGCATGCGAGCAAGGGTGCAGCTAAGTGGACAGACTTCAGATGAATTTGCCGTTAACTTCTGTGTGCGGCAAAGATGCATCTTAGCCCCCGCACTGTTCAATATCTATCTAACTGCTGTGCTGTGCGCATACAACACGTGTGAATACGGTGCATCTGGAACACCGCATGAATGAGGATTTGCTAAACGTCCGCCGCTTTGGAGTAAGAAACCTAGTGCATGAGACAACCATGCGTATACTGCTGTTTGCTGACGACTGTACGTTGTTTGCACATACCGAGGAAGAACTGCAATGCATAACGACTGAATTTGCTTCAATGGCGACCAAGTTTGGACTTAGCATAAACATAGGCAAGCCTATATGCCTATGTCAACAGGAACCAGGTGTGGAGCCCATGTTCAGGCCAGAAATACAGATTGCAGAGTAAGTACCACAGAAGACGTCAGCATGCTGCTACCTCGGAAGTACGTTGTCAACCGACCTGCAGATCACCGACAAACTGCGCGGTCGTGTAACGAAGGCCAGTGCGGATTTTGGGAAACAGAAACATCCGCGTGTGGAAGAATCATCATTTCACTGTTAGAACCAAGGTGATGGTGTACAAATCCATGGTTCTCTCGGTCCTTATTTATGGATTGGAAACGTGGACACTGTACAGAAAGGATAGCCGGTTTCTGGAACGATTATACCAACATTGTCTTCGCCGGATATTGCATATCCAATGGTGGGACAATGTGCCGGACACTGATGTGATCCGCCGGAGCGAAGTGTACACCATGGACTGCATGCTACTGCTGCGACACCTTCGGTGGCTTGGACATGTGCGCCGTATGGATGCAACGAGAATCCCGAAGCAACTGCTGTATGGGCAACTGAGCGCAGGCGGCCGGAATGCAGGCAAACCAAAGTTGCGCTACCAAGACAATATCAAGGTTAGTTTGTCCAGAGTAAGTATTGACCTAAGTGTTTGGGAGGAGATGGCAACGAATCGCCGCACCTGGCGTGATCTCATCACGTGTACCGTTGCCCAAGCGCAAGAAAGACAGCTGGTGCATCGGGAAATTAAACGTGCAGCACGCAAACATCAGCTGCCGGCGGACTACAATTCTTCGGCTACTCCCACATGGAGCTGTAGTGCATGCGGCCGTGTGTGCCTTAGCCCAGCCGGTCTGGCCAGTCATCAACGAGGCCACGATGGGGCTATGCCGAACAGGCCGACTGTGAGACCGAGCACCACGGACTGACATGTGGCACTTGGTGGTACGCAACTGAGAAGGGACGGTGCACGTTAAATCGGCCAAACGTTATGGAGCGAGGTGAGTCAGAACGGAATCCCCGTTCGCTCGCAACATCGGACGGGAGGACTTTTGCACTGATACTGCACTAATTCATCGAGTGTTGCAGCGCAGCGACAACCACCCATAGTTTCTGCAAAGACGCAGGCGCACTGTATTTGCCCTACTGGTAATCCGAATACAGATGCCCACATACGAGTGCCCCTATGCTGAGGTTTGATGTTGCATATACCATGCTTCTTCATCGCAGTTGGGCTACACTGACTTACCTCATGTTACCATATTTTACCGTACCTTACCATTACCATAGCCTTCAAAGACTTTACCTATTACAGTATGCAAAAGCAATGCTTCCTCGCTTTGGTGGCAAATTGGCAATCTGATGGACGTGTTCAAGTTGGATCAAGCATTCAAAGATAAATCGCTCCGGAACATCCGTGGGAAGTGAACAATCCCGGCAATTAACTGACTAGCGATTAACATGCTGATGTTGATGTGTCATGCTGTGTTTCACATTAAATCTGTTAGAATGATTAGAGCTGTAATTCCCGTTCTTCATCCGACAACCTTAGCTAAGCTTATGAAAATCAGTGGACTCCAGCGCACCATTTCGCTGCAAACCTGCATAGTTGCCTACTCACGCTCTGTCATCTCTTTTGTATCATCCTTATTCTATCGCTATGTAAGTCGCGCTTGGGCACAGTATCACTCGAGAACGATTAACTACTAACTTGATATAATGCAATGTCATTATTGCACAAGTCTAAGAGGCACCTACTAGAAGTTGTGTTAGACATGGCCAATATTCTGCGTAGAATAAGAAAAATATAATGGCAACGGTAATGGTACCTCAGCGTTTTAGTAGGTTACATCGGAAAGAAATCGGCGAATAGTGAGAAGTGTTTATTTTAAGAGCACCGAATGGTTGCACCGAAGACGTACAATGCAGATCATTACCAAATAGCTTATGGCCACAGCAAGATACACAGCGGTATGTACAAACGGATGGGCACTTGGATGACAGCCTTGCTACGTCTTGGACATTTGCAAACCAGTGTGAATACTGTTTTGAAAGCCGCATGTTTGACATTAGGCAGCGGGACTTAGTTGATGTAGTACTGCGGTTGTTGTCGTGCCAACGAGGCCGTAAGCGGCGAATATTGCCACCTGTTAAAACTTATGGTTGCGCAAAAAACGTTCTTTGAGAATCCGCACGTACCTCCGGCAGCAGATGATCGGACAGGTCAGACGACACGGTCGGTAGAGCCCGACCGCGGCAAAATTTGAGGGCAGCGCTCTTAAAGTTTTGGCGCAAGCCATTCGCTGGCCAACGATTTTATGTTTCCAGCCGACTACTGTACGCGCGAAAAATGCACGACGAGGTAAAGGCATGTGGAGCGCATGTCGAAGCTACCGAAGCCTGTGCAGATAAGTTATGTACCTTGGCGGTCAGGAAAATCTGTCTGCTCTGGAAATCCTTAGACGAACATCCTCATTACAAATGTGATGTCGCCATCGTACATAAGCAATGCACCGAAGGCAACGAGGATCAAAAACAGACAGCCTCCAACGTCCTTTGCGCAAACAGACCGTGTCGCAACTGTAGAGCAGGACAGCTCTTACGGCGGCATTGCAGATTCGACTTCTCAGGGATAGACGCAGGTCGCATCGAGGCCAGAGATGGCGGAAGTTAGCAAAAGCAACCCGTACCTTAGATACGCGCGAAGGGACCTCATCCCTTAAATCGTTAGCGCTAATGAGGCCTCCGTGGTAAGCGAACTTGTCTACCACTTCGAGGAAATCGCTCGAATAGGAGCAGTTCCTAACCAGCCATGTAGGAAGATCTTACACTTCGATGGAGCGAAGGTCATTCCAAACTGAGAGAGACACCCTCACCTTACACACCCACACTTTGGGCGGCTTGTGAGGAGTCACAAATTACGGTAATGTCATCTGTATACTCCAAATCAAACTATGCAGATCGCGATTGAGGCCTTCTCATTGAAACCGTTGTTATGTGTCCCAAAAACTGTGCAGACTTCATCTAAGCTGTCTCTAGTAACGACGCTAGTTCTACTGCCCCAAGCCACATTGGTCTCAACTGAGTTTGCTTGAAGACACAACCACTATGTTGTCACTCATCTACCTTAGCAACAGCCATGGTCCTCTACGGTTTAGGTATTACACTGCTATACCATAGAGCTATAAATACGAATATGTAGAAAGCCATTGACTGAGTCAGCAAACGGACTCGTGCTATCGAGCAGTCTCTTTTCTGAGTCTCGGTGCAGTCATGCGAGGTTACGCGTTTAGTCGCCCGTCTTACCTCGCGTCACTTAGACCGCACTAATCCGAATTCAATTGGCTACTCTGTCTATGGGGTACTATCGATGAAGAAATTTTGTCCGTTCCGATTAAGAGCAAAAAAATACGGAAAAACCTGATTTTATTCCCAAAGTTGTTTTAACCTTCTTTGACACATTAGTTTAACCAAGTTAAAGTCATCTCAATGGGAGCGGATACACAGAGCCTGTTAAGCACCTCTTCAACTCTTATCAAATGCAATTTTAAACAATGGTGGTTCATAAAACTAGCGCACAATTCTTTCCATCATCCCAATACCCCACGCTAACTGGATGGAAATGATTTCTCGGAAGTACGTTAGTCCAAGGTCAACTTGCAATAGTGTTTGCTAGTCTTTCCACCTAAAGGACAGAACAAGACTCCGACAAGACAATTTCAGCAAATTTTACATTTGCGCTCTTGCCAAGTTTTAGTCTTTCAGTGCCGGTTTTTGTGCATTGTCCGATCCACACACACATTGTGATATTTTCCTCCTCATGGCTTCCAGTGCAGCAAACCAGCACGAAGTTTTGATTGCATGATCATCGCCAGCGATCTACGCATTCTGAAGGGAAGCACTGCACGTATTTTCGAAGTAAATGTAACAATACTGCCTTTTTCGTGGAAAAACAAAACAGTTATCCTCACAAGAATGCATGAAACCTGCAGAGAACGATCGGACCGAGGTGACTGACTGTACTATCGAAAAGTATACCATCCATTTATCTAACCATAGGTATACGATAAGACAATGTGGTCACATTCATTGGGTTCGTGTCACGAGGAAGCTCGGTGAGCTTTGTTAGTCGCTTAGGCAACGCGCAGATGGGACATGGAGCAACACCCACTTGCACATAATAATGCGGAAAACAGCATCAGCACACTTAGAATCGACATCACAAACAAAGTAAGCGCGCTCAGTTTACTCTGGTATTTCGATGAGTTTAGACTGTCAAATGGAGGGAGCCACTGCAACAACAAAGACTGAACTGGATGGGAACGATCCGAAAGAACACCAGTTTGTCTCAGCTTCAGATGAGCCGAGTAATAGCTTTCTTACTCTCTCTCTCTCACTATATATATATATATATATATATATATATATATATATATACCGTGGTGTGTTAAAGTTACGTCAAGTCGAATACATACAAAGGAATCGCAAATTGAAAATACAGAAACAATTTCCAAGGATTGCCGTTTGACGAAAACATTGCGAATTAAGTGACAGCAGGAAGAACGAATGGATGCAAGGTGCAAGGGAAACAAGAACTAAACACACAGCGGTAGAAATGTGCAGCCAACAGCAATGAATCGAATGAAACTCACCTGCTAGTGCCGGAACACTCAGTTCATAAGCCCACCCAGATGGGATCCAGCTTGGCTGCTGCTCGAGGCGAGAGACCAAACGACGCAATTTATCCACGCTGTGGCGCATGTCAGAGTTGATCAACGTATGGAAGTATAGATGACGATATTGTGAAGCGTATCGCTTTGAAGCGTCAATCATTGCGTTCAATTCAGCATCCTGAAGTGGGCGGATAGGAAGACAGGTACGTAGACAGGTAAGTGATTGTGTGTGCATGAATACAGTGGCCTAAGACTTTTTAAAAACGGATATCAAAAAGCATATGAGAGATAAAAGAACGACAGGTATCCATAAGATTGCTCCTTTGAGCTAAAAACAGCTACATTCTCGATGTGTAAGACGTGCACAAGATAAATGTAACGAGGGAACTCAAGCCCCTTGGGAACCGGCATAGCTGAGAGGTGCGTCCTTAAGTGCAGCCCTAAGTTGTGGACAAGGGAATGCCTTCCGTGTAGACGTAACCAAGAATGAGCTCCGTCCGTGTCGTAGATAAGATGAGTAAGAATTCGAGGTAGATCGGCGGTATGGTTATGAAATGCAGGAATTCAGATATGATAATCAAGTTCGCCGTTAGACACCACGAGAATTCATAAGACGATGAGTCAGAGCCAATGTGACTGCGGGTAAGACCACCGAAAGCTCACTTTTGCCACATGAAGTGAGCATAAAGTGGAGAGCAGACAAAAAGCCTCCATGACTACTGACGTCTTAGTAAGCTTACGATTCAAATACCAAAAAGCACGTGACAATTACTTTTCCAGTAGTCTTAGAATTCATAAGTCTAAGAAAACCTTCGTGTCCTCTGCCAAACAAAACCAGGAAATCAGCGGATGACAGGTTGAGTCGCCGCGGGTACCATTAACCTTACAACACTATCCGAAAACCGTGCTATGCACGCTACTATAGCCAATTTCTTAATGTACACGACGCATGTTAATCGCTGTTATCCTGCAGGTCAGGTCATTGTGATTTAAGAGCCCAAGTGCGATCATGAAAATCAACCTCTACCCTCGACCTGAGCAAGCGGGTAGCTCTATACACAAATAATCGATGAATTGACGTTTCGAGGACTTCACGCTCTCTAGCTTGGTGTTCCTGAAACGCTGCGAGCAGCAGAGGTGGTGGTAACGGCTGGATCTGCTAATTGGTGCTATACCTCACTGTGTTTGTTTAATCCCCACCCGTTTCCAAGAATAACGCGGTACAAGTGCGAACATGTCTTCCGAAATACGAGTTGGTAGATTGGTAACGTGGAGAACACGTCAAGACACATGTGCAGTAACATTTTACGATAAAGAATTTAGCAACCTGTGGATATTTTTAGGGGTTAGGAGAAATTAGGTGGAAAGGTGTAGATGATAGAGGCGATGGTAAACCGTTTGCAAACACCGACGACGAGGTTTGTGATTAACAGACACATAGGCAGAGGGTTGACCAATTTTCATTGTAATGCCGCCGTTACACTTTGGGACCAATAGTGGCGTACCATACTACACGCACTTGGCTCAGCGCCCCAATAATCGATGTAGAAAAAAACAGGCTAGCGTCAACCGCAAAATTCGCCAGTTAGCTTTTTTACTGGGGTGTGGTAAACTGGGTAGTCAGAAACTGAACAGACATTCGCAGATGACCGTGTAGAGCAGAAATAGGCGATCCAATCAGCAGGATAACCTACCGAAGCGGAAGCCACATTATGTGACAGAAGACGAACGTAAACCAATATGACAGGCAGACCATATACTAGAATATGAAGGTTGATAATTCCAAGACCCCAAGTCAATCGATTCGGTGGACACACGTTCGATCAAAAGCAAGAGAACGAAAAGTATGGGAATATGCATTCTGTGAAGCAAGGTGGCCTTACTGAGCGAGTGTTTTTTGTTACACCGGCATGGACACCCTCCTCCATCATACGTTTAGCGACTTCAAAAGTGGGAGGCGCCACAAACACCGCGCACGGATTATATTCCGGTTGATGAAGTAGATGAACAGTCTGTGAACACAAGGAAAAAACAGTTGGCTATGGAAGGAGGATAAACACTTGCAAAAGATAATGCATGTGTGGAAACACGTGTCCCAGTTACGGTTCGTCGGGGGTAAACTGCACCGATTCGAGTGGACAGAAACCCGTAGCAACGCGAAAATATTCTAAACATGTATTCGGAAATCTGACTGACAAGCAGCGAACCAGGACGAGGAGGAGAACTAAACCAATAGGGAAAGATGTTCAACTAGGGTCACACATGTAGGCACGAGTTTAGTCACGCTGTGAGCAAACTCGTCGATGAACTCGTACATCCTGTGTCAATAATTCACGTTTTAATGGACGGACTGTGGGTCGCACGATATATACGGCTCCAGTGCAATGGGTAACCGAAGAAGAAAGTTGTGACGGGGGAAAACGCAAAGGGGGACACTGTCTTGCTGGCCAATCGCTCGTGGAAGACGTGTGACCCCTTGCTCTACATCCAAGGGTGGGCCGACAGATGGAGCACTGACAGCGAACAAGAGATGGCAGAAATGGATAGCCAAGTAGTTTATCATGGGAAGGTATAGTCGTCAGTAAGTAATTAATGTAGAAAGGTCAATTTCTAGCAGAATACCTGACAAAACCGCCCCACGGACTATGACGGCTAAAGAAAGAGGTATCAGTAGTATGCCGGTACGCAGTATCAACGCTTCGCTGCCGCACAGCCATCATCAGTCGCAGGTAAGCTAAGGATACTGAGAGGTTCGCCCGGTCCCTAAGCAGGCTAGAACCCGCGCCGTTAGATAACAAAACGAAATCGTTAGCTTTAGCCAAGGAGAAGATGAAGGCTGGTACCTCAAGTTTTGAAAAATTATTGCCTGATGAGCATAGTTGAGACTGTAGAGAGACTGGACCATAACGTAGTGCGACGGTTTGCGTACCTCCTTAACCCATTGAGCTATACCGGGTAGTGGCCCCGGGCTCCTTGAGAGCTACTCCTACCTAGTTGGTCAACGGATAGAGGTCAGACAAACTGTTTCCTGGTTCTGCAGGTTGGGGGGTTAAAATGGAATGGGGTCCATTTCTAGAAAACTAATTCATTGTAACCTTCCTGCTGCCTTGCGGAGAGTCTTTTAAGCCAAAGACTTCCGCTGAGGACCCTAGTTGTCCTCCTGTCTAGGTCTGGGCGCCCTGATAGTATCTCAGCCCACATACTACTATGACAATTGCCGCAAACTTCAACTATATCCAGTATCGGTGGTCCCGTAGATTATCTAGGGTCGTCTTATCTGCTTCAAACAGCAGGGCGGATATGCGAAAACATGCTACCGCTGGCCTTTCCCTTCTTTCTTTTCCACCTGTTTCTCTTACTCCCATCCCGACCTCCAGTACTAACCTAAATAGTACAGTTCCCAGCTTGATTAACAGAAGCCGTACTGCGACTGGAGTCGAACCATCTGCAGCTATTTTCCCGCATCACCCACTGGAGGCCTATCGACAAAAGCCCTTATAAGGCCACGCTGTCCCGTTTCCCTGACGGCGTTCAACGTTCGCATTTGGCGAAAAATATGTCAACAGGCTGCACTCAACCGCAAGTTGGACACACTGGGTATTGACGTGTGTTGCGTATCCGAAACTAGGATCAATGACCCTCATGGGGTTGTTGAATTAACTGTGCTCCGCTTCACTCGTTATTGTTCGCATATCTGTGAAGACATCGATGCGGCAGCCTTTGGTCAAGCTGGGGTTGGTATCGTACTCAGGTCTAAGGCGGAGTCATGCTTGGTTGACTAGATTACGGTAAACAGCCGTCTGTGTGCAACTCCTTTGACAAAACTGACCTAGCTTGATTCACTAAGTAGTACAAGACGCCATGCGTTTGTGATTTTCGCTTACGCTCCCACCGACTGCAGTTTTAGTGCTGTCAAGGACACATCCTACCATGAACTGAACATACTGCTACGTAGTTCAGTTCAGATATCAAAGCAATAGCTGCGTATGAAGGCACAAGTAAGCCACCTGGGCTCACGTACGTGGTAATTAGCGGCTTAGCTCAGACTGTACTGACAACGACGAGCGTCCTTTACAACTGTGGATGGAGCACCAGCTGTTTCTTAGTAGCACTGCCTTCAGACACAGCGGGCGCCGAAGTGACACTTGGCGTCCTCCAGCAGCTGGCCAGCGATGGACTCAAACTGATCACATTGCGATAAGTTACAGGTGGTGTGGCTCCATCCTGGATTTCCGCTCGTTCTGGAGTACTTGCGTCGATTCTGATCATACCTTGGTACGCTGCCGTTTTTCCATGAACTTTACCGGGAGGCGCACAAAGCGTCTCCCCCTAAGAAATCATCACAAGCGTCTGTCAGGCAAGGCTATCTAGACGCACTGCGTACCGAAGTTTTGCTCCCTTGTTCTAATGACACTGAGCTTTAGTGGAATTGGATCTCGGTCGTCATGCACAACGCAGGAGCATCCGCTTCTGGTACTATCAACCGTCCCCGCACCAGTCAGTGGATATCCGAGAGGTCGCGGAACATGTTGTAATCCGGTAGAAAACGCTCGTCTGGCTCTGAGCACAATGTGACCAGACGGACAATCAGGCGCGAACTAAAGCGGAGCCTCAGCGTTGACAAGGAAGCCCGGTGCACCAGTCGGGTTCAATAAATGGAGGAGGCAGGAATAGTAGGGAACTATTACAAGCTCTTCCAGCTGATCCGCGCAATTAGTCCCAGGAAATCAGGTGTCAGTGAAACAATCAGAGACAGCAATGTGTGCTCTGATTCGCAATAAGGAGCGGCGTATGGCTCGTTGGGTGGAACACTTTCAAGATCAATCCAGTCGGCCCTTGCTTCCGAACGTCTTCCTACTCAGGTGATGCAGGATGAGTTATGGACGGTTAGTTTAGAGCCTCCTTTGGAGGCCGAGGTCCGAAACGCGATCACAGCCCTCAATCGTTTTCGTGTTGCTAGCCCGAATTCCCTCCCACTTGCGCTATTTAAGGATGGAGGTGAGGTCCGCTGCGAAGCACTGACCTCCCAGCTCGAACAGGTCTGAAAGGAGCTAGCTCCTCAGAATAACAGATAACACTTAATAAGTTGCGTTGAACTGGGCATGTGCTACGTATGCCTGGTCACCGCTTACCTAGTAGGGCCTTGTTTAGTCTGCCTGGTGTAGGGTGGCGCAAAGCTCGAGGTAGACAGAAGTTGACTTGGCAGCAAGAAATGTAGTCACTGATGACCAAACTGGGTGCCACCCGTACGTCTCGCCTTCCAGGCTGGAGTCCACGTTATTCGCCTTGTGCTTAGATCGCGAAGTCACAAGACATGGCTCGCAGTCGACACCAGTGGCGTGTCCGTTGCCGTCTCCTAACCGGACTGTCTGTTTAACGTGTGTTTGGTGCTGACTTATCTGCGGGGTAATAGCTGATTGTGACGCGGGGCAGTGAAAACCGCAAGGAAGTTGTTTCGCCGATGCCGAGTTATGTTTGCACCATAGTCAGTTGTTTGTGGTGGCCTGTTGTTGACGCAAGATGTAGGCGCCTTGTCCCTAAATGTTTTCTCATAGCAGTAAGGTTTTTCAGTAAGTCCCCCGCTTGTTCTACTTCGTTCCGTAAGTCGTTATGGTTGTATGGCAGCGAAACATCAGTTCAAATGGCTGATGTACTGCTGTTGATGGTGATGATGCCGAAGTGGTACATTCACTAAACCTAATGGCTTTTCCGATTGAGAATCCATATCTTTCTCGCTTTTTTAATCAAAATGTATCCGTGTATCTTTTCGCTCCGTCTCCGGTTTCCCTAATTGGCGTGAAGATGTGGATGATGACATCTAAAAGCATCGCCTACCAACAATCGGAATGGGTGATTTAGCTAAACTGAGGTGGTCTGACTTCGTACGCAAGGAGCAAACTGTTGTGATAGAAACATGACGAACCTGAGGCTCACAGTCCAACACGGCAGTTCGTCCACTGGCTATGATCTTGCGGATGGCAGCAAATCGAATCCCGTAGAAATGACCATCAATCTTACCCCATTCAACGTATGCACCGGAACGAACGTCCGCTTCCATCTGAGACTTTGATAAAATGCAGAACTGATTAGTCGATGCGGCAGGGTCGGTGGTGTCTGCAAAGGAGCAGCATGGAGAGATATTGCTAAATGTTGGAATGGAAGGCAGTAGAATTATGAGGAAGCGTTAAGAGTGAAGTCAGTGAGGAAGTAAATACACAGACACATCCAAACGACCAGAAGTTGTCTGACCCGATTAAGAAGGAACCCGCTAGAAACGGCCCGGGACAGAACACGTAAACCACCCTGGCCAGAGGGCAGCGTCTTTGGGTGAAAATGTCTAAACTAACGCTGCATTCCTGGCATTGGGCTGGAGTTGCGACGAATGTGTACGAACGCCAGGATACCGTTCTAGACGCTGCCATAATGCAGGTGAAAGACAATAATGTGGAATGCATGCGTGCCATCATAAGAAGATACAGGCTACTGTGTATAGTTAAGGCTACAACAAAGGGAACTTAAAAAGCGGGCCAATGATGGTTCAATAGTGGCTGGAACCTACGCGTACAGAGTCTAAGATGAAAAGTAGAGATGCGCTATTCAGATAATGAAGCCTGTGCCGTTGTGTTAAACAAATCAGTGTGGCAAAGAAGCGACCATACTTCTGAATGAACACAAAGTTTGAACACTCGATAATCTAGAAAAACCGCAAGATTATCACGACTTAGGGGTGTTCAGACATTACAAGCTCAAAAGATTGCCAACGGTGATAGTCCATTGAAGCCAACATCATGCGTAGGGAATAGACGGAGACATGAGCTGACCAAGTTACTATTGACGGCTTTGAAAGTTCGCAAAAACCGTTGAGCTACCTCACAAACTTGGAAAGGAATCAGGTTAATTGAAGTTACGTGGTTCAAAATAGGTTGAAAGCAGGAACACCAATGTAACAAGTTGAATATCCTTCGTATGATGCGGATTGAAAACGAAACTGTTTTCGAGGTCAAGGATATAGGTAAGTGGACAGCTTAGCAATTAATAGTCTGTCTAGAGTGGAGCGAATGGGTTTTATCATAACCTATCTCGAAAGTCACTCGAGAATGGATCTGGTCGAGATAGCTTTCGAAAAATGATGGGAGATACCATGTTCATTATTGCAAGAGTGGAACGAGTAACCCGGTTAAACAGTGCATCAGACAGTGCGTATGCATAAGACATAGTGACAGCGAACTGTGAGTAGAGTGGCGCTTTGTACTTCCACTTTGTCTGTGATTACTTACATTTGTAACAGATTCGATATAATTGTCGGTTCTCAATTATGGCACCCACAAGTTGACACCCATCCGCCAGGCATTCACCGAAACTTAAGAAGAACAAACTGACATCTTAAGATGGGGATTAGCTCATCTAGAGGTCCAGCGGGAAAAAACAACACAGCATTCTGTCGGTCTACTTAAAGTGGACAGCATAGATGATGGGTAACAGGACTAAAAGTCCTGTACAACCGATGTGCCAGCATAAGAGATGAAAGTAACATGGAACAACAGTACAAAAGAGACAATTGGGGAGTGAAATGAAGTACCGTCACTACATACGCTCAAGGCAGCGCGCAAAATACTTCAACGATGCTAGGAAACGGGATTTGCAAACCAATGTCCGGTAGTGCAACTAATCCGTCGCAACGAGACTGGATCTAAACGTGGTGCGACGGTTTGCGTACCTCATTGATCCACTGAGCTATACTGGGTAGTGCCTGCATACATCTTGAGAGATACTCCCACCAGATTGGTCAACGGTGAGAGGTAAGACAAACTCAGTCTCCTGGTCCCTTAGGTTAGGGGGTTGAGATGGGATGGCGTCCATTTCTTTAACACTATATCAATGCCACCTCCCCGCTGCTTTGCGGACAGGCTTTTCAGCCAAAGGCGTTGCATAAGGGCCCTAATCGTCCTCTTGTCTAAGTCTGGGCGCCCTGGCAGTATCTCAGCCCACATACAACCAGGACTTTTTCTTCCAACTGAAACTTCATCCTGCATCGGCCGTGGCGCAGATTATCAAAGGTCGCCTTATCTGCTGCATACAGCAGGGCGGATATGCGAAAACATGCTACCGCTGGCCTCTCCCTTTGTACTTTTCCACCTGTTTCTCTTACTCCCATCCCGAGCCCCATTATTAACCTACCTTCCACAATTCGTAGCTTATTTGACAGCAACCGAAGTGGTACTGGAGTAAAACCATCGGCAGTCACTTTCCCACAACACCAAGCGGACGCCCATCGGCAACAATCTCTTATAAGGTTACGCTGTCCCGTTTTCCTGGCGGCGTTCAAAGGTTGCACTCTAAGACAAACAGAGTCAACAGGCTGCACTCAACCGCACCTTGGACACACTGGGTATTGATGTGTGTTGTGTGTCCGAAACTAGGATCAATGACCCTAACGGGGTTGCTGAATTAACTGCAAACGGCTTATGCTCTCGTTATTGGTTGTACGCATCCGGGGACGCTGACGCAGCACTCACGCGTCAAGCTGGTGTAGGTATCATTCTGAGCTCCCAAGCTGAGCCATCGTTGGTTGATTGGATTCCGGTGAACAGCCGTTTATGTGCAGCCCGTTTGACGACATCAGCCAAGGTTGTTTCACGAAGTAGTACAAAACGCTGTTTGTTCGTGATTTCCACTGATGCTCCCAATGACTGCAGTTCGAGTGCTGTCAAGGACACGTTCTATCGCGAACTGAATGCGCTACTACGCAGTGCTACTAGTTCAGATGTTATAGTACTTGCATGGTGTATGAGCGCACAAGTAGGGCGTCTGAGCTCTTCAGGAGCTCAGCTGGTTGGTAATTATGGGCTTGACTCCGAAAGGACTAAAAACGGCGAGCGTCTGCTGCCACTGCGTGCGGAGCACCAGTTGTTTATTAGTAGCACTGCTTTTAAACGCAGCAGGCGCGGAAGTGCCACTTGGCGTCCTCCTGTAGCTGGTCAGCGATAGACACAAATTGACCACATAGCCATAGATTACAGGTGGCGTGGTTCCATTCTGGATCGCCGCTCGTACTGGACTCGACTCTGATCCTGCGCTAGTACGCTGTCGCTTCTCCATGAACTTTACCGGGAGGCGCACCAAGACTCTCTCCTAAGGAGCAACTGAGAAATTGTCTCAGCCCTCGGTCAGGCAAGCCTATCAAGACACACTACGTACCTAACTTTCACTGTCTTGTCCTAATGACACTGAGATTCTGTGGAACAGGATCTCGGCCGTCATGCACGACGCAGGAGCATCTGCTTGTGGCACTAACCATCTTCACCGCACCAGTCACTGGATATCCGAGAAGTCGGTGAACCTGTTGGAAATCAGGAGAACCCTCCCATCTGGCTCTGAGCACAATGTGGCCAGACGGGCTATTAGGCGTGAACTAAAGCAGAGCCTGCTTGCTGACAAGGAAGCCTGGTGGACCAGTAGGGCTCAAGAAATGGAGGAGGCAGGAGCAGTAGGCAATTACCGCAAGCTCCTCCAGCTAATCCGCACCACTGGTCCCAGAAAACCAGGCGTCAGTGAAACAATCACAGACAGCGCGGGTGCACTGATACACAATAAGGAGCACCGTATGCCTCGTTGGGCGGAACACTTTCAACATCAGTTCAGCTGGCCCCCTGCTCCCGGACATCTTCCTACTCAGGTGATGCAGGACGAGCCATGAACGGTTAGTTTGGAGCCTCCGTCGGAGGTCGAGGTCCGGAACGCGATCACAGCTCTTAATCGTTTTCGTGCTGCTTGCCCGCATTCCCTCCAACCTGCAATATTTAAGGATGAAGGTGAGGTACTCTGCAAAGCACTGACCTCCCTATTCGAACGTATCTGGAAGGAATAGGGTGTCCCGGCTGATTAGAGCGAATCGATTACAGTGGCAATATACAAGAAGTGCAGTCGCACTGACGGTGCTAACCGCATGGATATTATCCTAACGCTAATTGTGACAAAATTACTGGCGTCACTTCTCGTTCGTTACCTCACTGTGGAACGGGAATCTCGGACTAAGGAACAGGAGGCAGGTTTTCGCTCAGGGCGTGGCTGTATAGACCATATATTCACTTTGCGGCAGGTGCTAGCGCAGCGCCACGCATAATGTTGACCGATAATAGCTGTGTTCCTCGATTTCAAGACTGCGTTCGATTCAGTCGATCGATCGATTCTGTTCAAAATACTTGCTCAGAAAGGTGTTCCAACGAAATATGTGAACATTTTACGTGCTCTATACTCGAGCACTACAGGCCGCGTCAGGGTCTACAGTGGCGCATCGGAGAGGTTTCCGAGCACAAGTGGCGTTCATCAGTGTTGTCCGATATCCCCATTTTTGTTCAATTTCGTTGTGGATTCTAACATGGAGTGTTCCCTTGCGGTATCTCACGATGTAGGCGTTGAGGTTCTACTTGGTGAAAGATTAGTTGATCTTGATTACGCGGACGATATCGTCTTGCTTTTTGACGATGTTGCGGCGGCACAATCAACCCTGAATAGCCTGTCTAGTGTGGTCCCATTACTTGGTATGCGCTTTGCATCTTCAAAGTGTAAAGTGTTGCTGCAGGACCACCAGCCACTTTATGACCAGTTGACCCTTGCTAACGAGGAACTCGAGGTGGTTGATCAATTCACTTGTCTCGGTAGCTGCATCAGCAACGATGGGCGCATAGAAGTTGAAGTCAGTTCACGCATTGCAAAGCAATGAGCTGCCTTCTTCAACCTGCGGCATCTTTGGCGACAGAATGGAGTTTCTCTTCGTCGGAAAGGCCGTGTATACAAGTCCACAGTGAGGGCCGTTCTGCTCTATGGTAGTGAGACTTGGCCCCTTCGGTCTGAGGATCTGAGGCGCCCTCAAGTCTTTTATCACCGTTGTCTGCGAAGCATTGCTGGTGTCAGATGGCACCGGCGTGTGCACAGGCGAGTACTAGGTAGTGATCATCATACTAGCTCCCTAGAACAACAGATAGCACTGAGTAAGTTGTGTTGGCTTGGGCATGTACTACGTATGCCTGGTCACCGCTTACCTAGTAGGGCCTTGTTTAGCCTGCTAGATGTAGGATGGCGCAAAGGTCGAGGTGGACATAAGTTGACTTGGC